ACCAGGAGAGTGGAGAAATAGTTGGGTTGATATTTTGGCAAGATGCCTTTATCGAAATGAAAAATGCATGTTGCCTGTCCTCTGCAAATGGCTTCTGCTATATTCGAAACGATGAAGACACGTTGCATGACTGCTGCTCTTATTTCGATAGAGGCATGTTGCCGAAATATTAATCCAACTATATTTCCATTCTCCTGGTTTTTCTCCGAGGAACAGGACTGATACTACTGTCTTATCGGATGGAAACGTTGATTCAAAGACTGCTTTGAGCAAGTAACTGTGCGGCCACTATCTGTCAAAGCATAGGCAGTACACGCAGCTTCAAGACACGTCTGCAGATGATGCGACATCCGCACCAGGGCTCTAGATTTAAAGTTTGGTGCAATTTAGAAAATAAACTGTCAAATTTGAAAAACGGTCGGCTCTGTGGTATATTTTCGTGCTGTGATGCATCAGTATCGTATTCCTTTACGGTGTTTTTTTTTACCACAATATATCTTCCCATCATGACGTGCGCGTTACATTCACAAAGATGTGATATGTACGTTCGTCATATCGTTACCTGTCAACGTTGTTATAGCATAGAAAAATTGATTGCAGGGCTTGCGGATATTTTCTCGGTATAGGACGTTCATGACGTCTGAAAATGTGTATAGATTCAGTTACCTTTGAACAGTGGACTTTTTCACGATACGTTTGCCTTGCCTTGCCTCGCCTATCTTTCAATGTGTGCAGAAGTTCCTGCATCGTACTGGTTGAAATGTGGTCTTGTCATCATGTTTTTACATATTTTCCAATTTTCACTCCCTGTTCTATTGATTCCTACTTCGTCGATTTTCCACATAGGTTTATAAAGAACTTAGCAGCACACTGACACCCGTTTGTGTTTGTTGTTCGGCGAGGCCCGGCACGCTCTACTCAGAGTAGAACTCAGTGAATGTGCTGAATTCTTTTTCGGCCGATCGGCCGATCGGACCGCCCAGCTCCGTTCTTCCTCCAGCCTCAGAAATTCCCCTGCCTGACCCGCCCTGACAGTGGTTCTTGCAACCCGGCTCAGGCAGGAGCGCACCCAGGGCACGGACATGGAAAGACGTCCTGCGAGCGTCCGCTTTCAGGACCAAACGGACCTGATTAACCTGCGTATTTTGAATCAGTAACCTGGAGCTTGCCCCTGCCGAAGCTTGCCTGCAGGTCACCATCCCCACATCACGTCCACGGTCACACCAATGTGCGATAAATGTGACGCGATCGCGCGACAACTGCCGGCGGAACTTAGCATTCAATCGCGTTTGGGCAGTGATAGCTATCGCCATGAAAAAGCTTCCTGTGGCGAAAGATGGGCACAGGAAAGACGCTTGAGGAAAACGAGCCGACGGCTGACAATTGAGCCAACTACAGGGCAAAAATCAGCCGTAGCCTCGTTCAGCGAGATCGGATGATATGAGAAGACAATGAAAGGCGACAGAAATATGCGTGCTGCTGAAGGACGTCTGCGAAACCATCCGCCTTAAAAAATGGTGTCGGGGAAAATATCCTGGATAGATAAATTGGGAATGGCTATAGTAAGGTTAACATGCATACGGTTGACGATTGCGGTTTGGTACCGCACATGCACCGAACAGAATGTGTGACCCATCTGCAGTTCGGCAAACAATCAACATCGAAAATTTTCATCTGTACCGTGGCGCGATTCGTTTGCGGGAAAGAACGCACTGACGCTGGACTGTTCATCCGAAGGACTGATGGAAGGGTCTGCGAGCCTTCCTTCGACCTTTTCGTGTTCAGATCAGTGGCTGCGATGGGGAACATAAATGACGGGAGATCAATGGAGACTAGGCTCCCCGAATGCCAGCCGCAGTCCTCGACCCGCTAGAGATTTGGCCAGCAAATGGCCGCCGTACCGCCGTGCTGACCCGACTTAAAGTGCGGATATTAGATAAAACTCAGACTGCATTTTTCAGTGTCTTTCCCAACTTAACGCGTATACTTACAACGCACGCACATCGGGTACCTTATTAGTGTCATCTAGTGCACACGATAATGGTGGTTGAGCCAGGCAAGCAGCAACCAGCATACCTCAAGTACGGAATTTCTGTAGCAACTATGCATTACGTCAGTTTCAACTCGGAGAGGAAAGGAGAAGGGCAGAAAATTGGAGTGAGTCCCTCTTTCAAGAATGCCACCTCTGTTTCTCAGATACAAAAACATAATATTTGCTCTTTTGCATTTTATGTTGGCTCCGGCTTTCGCTTTTTTGCATTGTTTGTCATCAAGTCCAATAAAATTGGTTGCTTCAGATCTCATATTGCTAAGCATGATATAATACCACTGACAACTTCTCTTTTACAGGCACTTCTCGTGACCCATTGAAACTGTTGGATTTGCGTGGAAAAGTGTTACGGAAATTATAGTTATAAATATATATATATATATATATATATATATATATATATATATATATATATATATCAACAAATGGTCAGTCTCACCATTTCATAAACCCGAGAAGCTGCACAAAACAGCACCCAATCGCTGGAAAGTGGAGGCATTTCGATATAAGTCACATGAACCATTGGGTATTTTCAATCTGTATGCCTCAGAAAACTTGAATGCACCAAAGTAGCCGTAAGACCACAAACCGGATAGACGAAAACAACTAACCTTGCTGGTGTTCGCCTTTTGCGCACTGCAGTTGCCTCGGCCATTGTCCTTTCACTTGAGTACCGACCGAGTTGCCATATGTCGTCCCCACCGAGTTGCCATATGGCCCCCGGCTCAAGCTCATGGCCCTCCGAGTAGACAGGAATGACTCAAGACGAATGTGGAGGGACCTCGTATGATCCAGAGTGTCCTGCAGATGAACGTATAGGATCCCTGGCAACAGTGTGGGATCCTCCGAGCTAAAATAAAGAACCGAAGACCAATGTTGCCGGCTCCTGAGAAATCTGTATCCTCCTGACAGATCAACAGCAAGTGGCTCGGACAGGTGCACGGGGCCCTCCGCCAGTGGAAGCAAATGGGAATAACGCTATGGCAATTAAGGCCGGCCCTGAACTGTCATGAGTGTCCCTGCATAATAACAGGAGCGCATGGCCTCCGAGAAGATTGGAAAAACAATGTCGACATGAAGGGGCCCCATGGCGATCATGAGCGCCCCGAAATGTTGACATAGTATCCAAGGCAGCAACGCACGGCCGTTTGAACAAATGCAAACACAAAGAACCGGAGGCTAGCGCAAAGGCCCTTGGTGATCGAGAGTGCCATGGTAGATTAATAGATACGGTTCTTGAGAAAAGTGTGGGGCCAGCTGCCTATAGAAGCAAAGAAGAAAACATATTTGTGTGTGTGTGTGTGTGTGCGTGCGTGCGTGCGTGCGTGCGTGCGTGCGTGCGTGCGTGCGTGCGTGTGTGTGTGTGTGTGTATGTGTGTGTGTGTGTGTGTTGTGTGTGTGTGTGTGTGTATGTGGACGTCATGGCTTGAGCATATCATCGTACCTTTTACATCATTGATTGAGAGCCAGTTGGCGACCGTTATACCTGGAATTTGCACTCACGAAGGCCAGATATGAGCGCCTCGACACTTATATTTTTCTCGCCCTCGATCGCCACATGACTTGTAGAATGACAGGAATTGAATAACGCTATTATGACGTCATGAATATCGAGGTGACTAAAATACTATACCCCATATTCTCTCCCCATTTTCGCGGGCATATAGCTCAGAAACTAGAGGGGCGTAGGCCTTAAGAACGGCAGGGATGTGGAGAGCACCGAAATTTCTTCATTAGAGCTCTTTCAGTTCAAAACCACATATAAATGTGGAACACTCCCTTCAATTCCCGCCCTGATTCGTCGATTTTTCATAACGCGGACTGGTGGGAGGTCGATGCGACCCCTTACCATTTCCAACTTAACAAAGATAGAGCTTAGCAGAACAGCAATGGGCTCGTCCCAACATGATATCGTGACTTGTGGTGCATGTTATGCTACCAGGTCAGTAATATAATACACCTTATCCTGCCAGGCCAAATCTCAGTTTTTCCCGAACACCGAACTTTTCAGCTTCACACGTTCATGGTTACCAGACAACGTCTCGCAGTGATAGGGAACCTGAACCGGCATGTTCCTTGTTCAACTAGGGGTAACATGGCATGTAGATTTACGTGTTTCACTACATATTTATGATGTAAGAGTCCCCCTAATGTAACAATGTCGGCCCACTACGTGCGTTCCGTGGCATCATTGGCTGCCGTCCGCCGCCCGTGCAGGCTGTGGATCGACGTGCAGTGTTCTACGAAAGCCCCCGCTGCTCCGAAACCAGAAATGCCAGGGACATTTTTGGGTGCCAAAATATGCAATAGATTCCCCGTACGCTAACCCTTTCTTCACAGCGAGGATTAAAATACGACCTGCTTCGGGGCCTTCAAATGGGCACTCGAACGCTAGTCCCGAGCGGACGTTAAAAAGGAATATGCCCTCTGCGCCCCCCCCCCCCCCCTGTCTGCACCCCTGCCTGCGCTCCCTCTTGCCCGCGCCGCTGTCTGTTGACAAACTAGTAGCTAACTACAAAAACTAGCAGTGATTGTTATCAGCTGATGCTAAACTAATATTGTTGCTACGAAAACCATTTTCGACGGCTTTACATCCAGACGTGTACAACGCTTGAAGCATATGCGCAAAAATGTAATAGATTAAACAAATATGAGCTAATCTTGGTTTCCTTATACTCCCTTTTTCTACCATAAAACCTTTGGGGAAGTAATGCCCATCTCTACGAAGCATTGTGGGTGAACAGCTGAATGACCTTGCGGCGGTTTTGTTGTGAAAACCGCCCCCTATGGGTCTTCCGCTCCCTGGTTCTAGTTAATAGTTTCACCCATTTGGTGTGCGGGTGTAGTTAGGCGGGGCTACGGTTGTTTCTGCTCGTACACGGTTGGATGCGAGAGCGCGTTTCACCACACTCCGCACTGCTGTGATACCAGCGTACACCTCGGTTTGGTAATGGCAGATGGGCTAAGATCAGAAAATGAAGTGAGAGGCTCTGGAAACAAAAAGCTCACAAAGTCAAAGTCTGGCCTGCGCATAATACCCATTAACAACACTGAAAGAAGTCCGTTTGAGTTGAAAGAACCAACATGGTCTCCAGACAAGGAGGTAAGCTATGCCGTCTTTTAAAAAGCTAGAGGGATTTGTACAATCCAGTTAGGTAACTGTGCAGCTTTTGTCATGCAGGGTCAAGCTGGGATGTTCATGAAGTAAATGTTATTGTTAAGTTCTGTTTGGCTGTTTTCCCCATCAGAACAACATGTGTGCAAGTTAACTGTGAAGCACAAAATCATCCATTCAGCTAAAATATCCTTGTGATATATGTGTGGCATGTGTGCCCCACTGCCGTCCCACATTCTGCATGTTCGCTTTGAACTATGGATAGGTTCTGCATGTTCACTACAATACACAAGTCATATTCATATTGACATACTGACAGATCAGACATTCATTTAGATCATATAGATCTTATTATATCATATGATGCTGCAGGGGCATGCCTGCAGGCATGTCCAGAAAATCAAGGGCCACTTAACTTATTAAGTTGCCAGGTCTGTTCACAGTCATCAGGGTTTTGATTAGGCCTGGGTTTCTGGGAAGATAACAAGAGCTACTTCTGTAGCCAAAATATGGGTGTTTTCTCTTTTTCTGCCATTCACCCATAAACAGGTGACCAGGCTGGACCAGCCCTGTCCACCATAGTACACAGAGCTGTTCATTAATGCCTGACTTAAGAATATGAATTTGCTACAATATTATCTAAACACATATCTACTTATTATCAGTTAATAGATAGATTATCTATATATTTATGATCTATTATCAATTTATGGTATTTAAGAAAAACAACTTGGAGATCCGGCTCTCTAGAGAGAGGGCCGGAACATAGTATTTGTTAACTGAGACTTTCTTCACCTAGTCACATGTTTGTGAGTAAATGTTAATGAGTACTCCCTGGCACTGCACACTATATCAGCATAGGCAGTTGTCTCATGATACCAACAATAATCTAGAAGCTATAAAATGTGCATAATCACGTTCCTAATTCCTGAAAACAAAAGATTGAACATACTTCTTTTGATTAATCTAATTGGAAAATTGGACATGTTGCACATATTTGACATAACTCATTTGGCTATGTTTGAGAAGTCATGCCATCTGCACTTTGCATCCGATCACTGCCGTTGTCACTGTGCGATGTCTTTACGTGCCGGAATACAACTGGCGTCTACTGCAAACACTGACTAGTGCTATGAAATGGAAGCGCTAAGAGCTAGGTTTCATACTAGGCACTAGTCAGATGGGTCAGAGATTTTCCTGCTCTATTGACATATGCCTGGGTGGCTGGCTAGGTACCCTTTGCTTGGTTGGGGAGTCAATTTGACCCCCTGTGAGATCCTGAGAACTATGAGAGCTAGAGACGCCAAATTTACAGGGTGTCTTGACCCATACATTAACTCACTTGGGTCGAGGTTTGAGCTTTCTAGGTCATGACTTTTGGGTCAAATAAGGTCAGACAAGGTCAAATTCCAGGTTGGTCTCCAAAGTGCCCCCAGAACATAGGCAACTGTTTCTAGGCAAGAGCTCACAAGCTGATTTGAGGTCACTGACCTTGTTTGACCTTTTGAAGGTCATGGTGACTAAAATCATACAACACTGCTCTGAGTTTTGCATTTGAATAAGCAACAAAGATTATGCTAGGCAGTATGTTCCTAAAACAAAATGTCAGCTGGGGTCATCTTAGATCAGTGACCTGTTCTGACCTCTGAGAAGTCAATGGAAGATGTACGATGTGGTTCCTGCCATCAACAGATTTGAAGTGAGCACCAAAAACTATCTCATACAGCAAGCCCTACAGTAATAAATCAGGTTGGTTTTATGTTGTTCTCACCTTCATACCTGACCTTAGGTTGATGCAATTTGCTCATTTAATGTTTGTTGTGCCTAAGACTAGAGGTGTATGGCTTCGTCAAATGCTCTGTTGTTGTGTCAGATTGAATGATTCGCTAGATATTGCCCTCGCTGAAACCATGTTCTGACTTTGACCTGCCAAAGGTCAGTGACCTTACAAGATACATTTGATTTTTATGTCAGACGATCCGCTTTTCAAGTGTTTACAGCTGTGCCAAATTTTGCGCGGCTACGCCGCGTCGTTCGGAAACCATTCTGGAAAATCCTTCGGGGGATCAATTTGACCCCCACCCGAGCGCTTGTAACACGCGTTCGGGTGGCCGGCGAGATGCCCTTTGCTCAGGTGGGGGGTGGGGGGGGGGCAATTTGACCTTCCTGAGATCTTGGGAACTAAGAGAGCTGGAGACACCAAATTCACAAGGTGTGTTGACCTGTATGTGAAATCACTTGGGTCAAAGTTTGATGTGCCTAAGTCATGACCTTCAGGTCAAATAAGATCAAATAAGGTCGAATTCTAGGTTGGTCTCCAAAGTGCACCCAGAACCTATATAACTGTTCCTAAGCAAAAGGTCACTTGCTCATTTCAGCACAGTGACGAATGACCTTTTGAAGGTCATGGTGACCAAAATAATACAAGATTGCTTTGATGTTCTGCATTTGAATAGGCGACGAGGTTCACGCTAAGCAGTGTGTTCCTGAAAACAAAATGTTTACCTGGGTATTTCATGTCAATAACCTATTCTGACCTCTAAGAAGTCCTTGGAAGGTGTATTATGTGGTTCCTGCCATTAATAAATTTGAAATAAGCACCAGAAACTATCCCATACAGCAAGCCCTAGAGTAATAAAACAGGTTGGTTTAACCTTAGTCTGACCTTTATACCTGACCGTAGGTCAACATAATTTGCTCATTCAATAGTTAAGTTCCCTAAAATGGTATCTCAGAAATGCATGGCTTCATCTAACACTCTGTTGCTGCATCAGATTGAACGATCCCCTACAAATTGCCTTCGCTGAAACCATGGCGTGACTTTGACCTGCCATAGGTCAGCGACTTTGCAAGGTGCATCTATATTGTTCATACCAAACGATCCGCCATTCAGTTGTCTAAAGCTATGCAAAATGCGACGCCCCGCCGTTCGGAAATCACTCTGGAAAAACTTTCGGGAGTCAAATTGACCCCCACCCGAGCGCATGTTGAGGTGTGTCACATTTGAAGATATTGAAGCAAGCATCAGATATGATGAAACAGCTCACTTATAACTATTGGTATACTTTTTCAGTAGAAAAAACTGCTCTCAACAGCACAGTGCTCTGTGTAGTAAATATGCTCAATATGTCACGGTTTGATCGTCATTTTCCCTTGCACAACATTGATTGATGGCAAATTGAGGGCTATTAAACCCGGATTATGTCTGGAAATCCAGCTCACAAACACCAGAACGCCAGATATGTACACCTCAACAGTTGCATTTTTCTCAGCATTGATGTGCCAACACAGCTTATGGAGTGGCAGGATTTGACTGATGCTATTATGCCATCATGAATGTCGAGGTGACTGAAAAACTCCCAGGTATGCCTTACGCCATTTTCACGTGCGTGTAGCCTTAGACAGCATAGGGGCATGAGCCTTACAAAGGGCAGGGCTGTGAGCAGCACCAAAGTTTCTTTGAGGTGCCTATTTCAGTCCAAAGCCCCATATAAATATGAAACACTGCCTTTAAAAACCCTGGGCACTGAATAGTCATATTTCATTTGAGTGAATAACTACCTGTAGTGCACCGGCACAGTATTAGAAATGGAGACTTCTGCTGGATTTTCTGCCTCCAGAAGTGTGTGCTCTTATTTTTATTATTATATTTTTTTTCGGTTAAAGATTTGACAATCCCCACAGCATGACCTGTGCAATGCTAGCAGTTTGAGATGTGCCCTGTTCTTCAGATGCCAGCTGCCGGTAATTTCTGTGGTTTTAGATGCACGGTTTGAAATTTCATGTCTTCATAGCTCTTAAAATTCCACTTTTTATCATCGGGACATGCACACTCAGGATTTGTGTGGGTGTGGGGATGGGTGTGGGTGTGGATGTGGATGTGTTTGTGTCATTGGGGCTTTACGACGCACTCAGCAGCGGGGGCTATATGGCGTCGCCTGCCTCTCACCCTGGCAGGAAGGGTGGGCACCGCGGGGAGTCGGACCCCGTACCTCCGGTTTCCCAGACGCGCAGTGGTTAACGCAGACGCGTTAACCACTGCACTTCCGGCGCCCTGCACTGAGAATTTGCCTTTCCAAACCAGGACCCCAACCTGAAGTCCAGCTCCAGTCCTCTTCTGTTTCATGTCATCTCACTTTTAATTATGCATTTTTCATTATGCTGAATCATTCCTCAAAGTTTTAGTTTGAATACAACCCGCTGTGCTGTGCCACTGCATGGCGATTCCAAACATTATCCCACCATTAAGACTCCCCGTCCGGCTCAGCGACGCGGCTGTTACGACACTCACTACTGAGCAGCGCTCGCAGCAACGGTGGCCGCACCAGGAGTGGCTGACTCGCCGCCCGGCTCCAACATTTTCTTTGGACAGATTTCTTGAGTCAGGACCCATGGTGCTCGGCATGGTCCGTCCCTCCCCCTGACCTCATGTGACCTTGTGCGGCTACTGCTGACGGCTACAGGCCATGCCGGCCAGGGGCAGATAGCGAGTTCCGCGACGGCTCGAACTCACAAACGCCACCGCGGGAATATTAGGGAGCAGGCGCTCTAACCGATTGGGCTATGGGTGCCTGTGGCATGGTCTGTGTCACGGTCACAGTCTCGCACTTCGTCCTGCTCGTGTTTAGAGCCTGTGTCTCCCGCTTCAGACCTCCGAGTGCTCCAACAGCAAGTGCGGCCTCAAGTTCGACTTCCTGAAGCGGCGCCACCACTGTCGCCGGTGCGGTCAGATCTTCTGCGGCCAGTGCTGCCAGGCGCGCGTGATGCTGCCCCGCATGTGCTTCGTGGACCCAGTCCGCCAGTGCTTCCGCTGCTCGGACGTCACCACAGCGGAGAACGACTTCTTCAACAGCAGTCTGAAGCTGCTGACGCAGGGTGGGTGCGATGCTCCAGCGGCTCTGGCGGGGTAAGCGGTGCCGTATATGGCTATTCCAAGATGATGTGTACTGTGGAGGTTTGTGCTATTGCCAGCTATTTCGTGTGGGCTTGGCATTGTAATGTAACTGGTCTTTAATGCGTGCTTTCTGTGTATACGCCTCACGAACATGTCGGATGCATGCCGGCGATCTTTGACGAGCCAGGTGCAGGTATACGTACTATGCTACAGACAGCGTGCGTGTTCCGAACGTTGTCTGTAGCGGTGCAGTGATAATGCACCGGCTGCCAGCGTCCGTCTGCAGCCGGGCGCCGGGCGCTGTCCGTACCAGTGCAGTGATACTGCACCGGCTGCCAGCGTCCGTCGGCAGCCGGGCGCCGGGCGCTGTCCGTACCAGTGCAGTGATACTGCACCGGGTGCCAGCGTCCGTTGGGAGCCGGGCGCCGTACGTTGTCCGTACCAGTGCAGTGATACTGCACCGGGTGCCAGCGTCCGTTGGGAGCCGGGCGCCGGACGCTGTCTGTAGCGGTGCAGTGATACTGCACCGGCTGCCAGCGTCCGTCTGCAGCCGGGCGCCGTCAGCGTACAGCTCTGAGTTGCCACGTCGCGTCCGTTGGCAGGCGCCCAGTTTGACGTGACCAGCGGAGAGCAGACGGTGCTGTGCCTGGCCACGGTCAGCGCCGACCACCGCTTCCTGCGGTTCGAGCCGACCTGCGGCGACCCAGTGCCGGAGCGGGTGGAGGTGTCGCGCATTGTGACCGCCCAGGTGACCCAGTCGACCATCGAGTACGGTGAGTCGCGGCCCGGTGCCCGGCCGTGCCCCTCACCGAGCCGTGCCTGTCGGCTCGTTCTCGACCTTGGGTGTGTTGTGCGGTCGAGCTGACCGCGTAAATCACTCGCCGGAACTGGAGCGATGTTTTGTGCATATCTGCATATTTAAGTGGACAGTTCCGTACAGGGTTATGTCCGACACCGCAGACCTGACAATTTCGCAGACTGATTCGTCGAGAGTCCACAAGGTCTTTGTGCAATGTAGCGGAAACATAAGACCATTTTTATCGTCATATGTCGGCGGGTCACGTCAGACACACAGTACGTGATCTGTGCCTGACCGCCAGCTGCCGGAGAACATGATGCTCAGCAGATGCTCAATGCTCAGGAGACGGAGGGGTCTGTTGTGGCGTGGACGCGGGGTGTTTGTGTGGCGATGGTGGCGGGACCTGCCGCCCACACCGCCTCGGGCCCGGACTGTCCTCCCCTGCGCGTCACTACCGTGACGGTTACGAGGAGTTACCTCGTCCCACGGTATCCGGACACGACGAGGTCGTACCCGTTATGATCAGCTCCAGTCGTGGCGTCGGTCACTGGCACCGATCGCCAGTGCTGCCACATCGGGGGACATGCTGCAATGCTCTCTGCTGGGAGATGTCGCCGGCACCAGCACGGCTGCTGTTCACTGCACGGGCTCAGTCGAAAGCTGACGTGCTTTGGCCATCATACCCCGCTCTCTTGAAGTTGGTCGTTAAGCTGACCTGTACGACCGCAGTCCGCCAGTGGAGCACGAGCTCTGTTGAGAGCTGACGTGCTGTGGCCATCATACCCCGCTCTATTGAAGTCGGCCGTTAGGATGACCCGCACGACCGCAGTCCGCCAGTGGAGCACGGGCTCTGTTGAGAGCTGACGTGCTTTGGCCATCATACCCCGCTCTATCGAAGTTGACCGTTAGGATGACCCGCACGACCGCAGTCCGCCAGTGGAGCACGGGCTCTGTTGAGAGCTGACGTGCTTTGGCCATCATACCCCGCTCTATTGAAGTTGACCGTTAGGATGGCCCGCACGACGGCAGTCCGCCAGTGGAGCACGGGCTGGGTATTAACTGTCCGGGTATTCGTCGGCGCAGTGCACTTTTAAGGCCTCCTGCACCGCCTCGCCGGGCGGGAATCTCGGGCGATGGAAGGGACGAAGTCGGCTCTAAGCCAGCACACCCAAACCCGGCTCCCTCCAAGATGCCACGACCAACGCAATCTTCGGATCTGCGCGTGCTGCCCCGGTGCCGATGGAACGGCCGGTCGGTCACGTCACGCGGTTCGACCCACACACCGCTATCGAACATTGCCGCCGACACCGAGCGACAGAGCAGAGCAGGGCGTACCTGTGCCCGTGTTCCGGCAGCGTGGCGCTGCAGGACTATGGTCGCCGTGCGGCGAAGCCATGTTGTCTTCGTCCCGGCAGGGTCACGCGCCCCGTATGGAGCGTACGCAACTACAGTAATCGTCATCGCCGCGACACGGAATAATTGGTGTAAAAGTACCACAACAGATCTGGCCTTCCCACGACTCACAGGTCCGACCAAAACCACTTACTCCCCAGCTTCGTCCAGGCTTACGTGCCTCTGTTCATGCAGGTTATGTGTTCAAATTTGTACTGCGCATGTCCGTTACAAGTGGTCCTTGGTACCGCCTTCGCAGAGAATGTCAGGTGATGGCAGTATTGATCCATAAACCATAGCAACTCATTGACGGGGCAGTTTCGCTGCGATGTTTCTGTAAACGTCATGCTTGATGCATTTTAGCTTTCCCCCTCGAGACCTATTGTGAAAATCGCATTGCCAGAAAGCCCGGCGGATTATTTAGTCATGTTGCATGTGTTTTGGGAAAAGCTGTAATGGACCAAGGAGTGAACAATCCCGCTCGTGTACCGGTCATTTACGTTTGTTTCCTTCCTCTAGACTGCTCGGACGATGGTGACGGTGAGTATCCGCTGGCCGCGTCGCGTCGCACTAGGGGGCCCCAGCTCCGTCGGTCTGACTGGCCAAGCCGTCTCCGGCGAAAGCTTCATGTGTCGCAGCCACGTGGGTTTTACCGGCGTCTTGTTGAAAAATGTTCGTATGTTTTGCCGTTCGACTCGGGCGGCTGCCATCAAAACATGGAATGCTTTTGTACATCATGCACACCGAAGGCGAGCCCAAAAGTCATGCAAGTGCCGGGTGACGCAATGACTCCGTTTTGCCTCCATTTTACGTTTGACCATTCACGGACCGGGTGGGATCGCCAGTAGGATCGGCGCAGGTCACTTGTAAAGGCGCTAATGTAGAGGGAGCAAAGGAAGTAGCATACCCAACCTTTCCAGCTCTTCGCATTCTTTATCTATCGGTTTGCGACGGGTTGGTTACAACACGGGAATGTCGCGACATCGGCGTCATAAGAAGCGCGGGTTTGCTGTGACGGCAGACAGGTGCGACCCGCGACATGCCGCCAACTTGTGCTAATTGCCAATGCCAACCCGGGCTGCTGTCGGTTGTGCGTCGATGAGCGGGGCCGTAGAGACATGGGTGGCACCTGGCTGTTGATTTACCATAAGGTATTTACCTCAGGATCTTGCGCGATTATTAGAACATGTACGTGGGGGTTTGTCTTCAGTGTAGCCTGCAAAACGGACCACCTCTCGATTTCAGCCATGTAGTGTGCTTCGATGCTGTGTGTGTTGACACAAGATGTCGGCTTTTGACAAGCATGGCTCCGGCAAAAACACGAGCTTGCATTTGACGTGGCAGCAGTTGAAAAGAAGAGTTTCACATGTGTATGAGGTTTTGAACTGAACTAGTCGTATTGAAGACCTCTCGGTGAAGCTCTCGGCCATTTCCTTTTTAGACCTAAAACTCGCTGGTTCCTGAGAAAGTTTGCAAAGATGAGTATGGGGAGTATTTCAACATCACTGGTAGTCATTAAGTCAGAATAAGGTCACCGAAATCCTGTCATTTCATGAGACTTGCGACAATCAAGGTAAAAAAAAAAATGTAGTGGTAGAGTCGTTTATATCTGGCGTTCGTGAGCATGATTTCCAGGCGTAGCAGCCGCCGATTCGCTCTCAATCAATGCTGTGCAAGGTACGATGATGTAATCAAACAATAACGTATCGAGGAACATGTCCGCCAAACAGAGAACTTGTGTTGTATGGAGTAGTCATTTTTGTGGAAAAGTATGCCATTAGTTGTAAGCAATCTTGTTTCATCATATCTGATGCTTTGATATCTTCAGATGTGAAACATTCCCTTTAAGTAACACAGGATGTTGCAGTCTTTGAAACGTGCTCACTTCTTTTCCCGCTCAATCTTTATTACCGTGTGGCTGCATCTTGGTCTACATCTGCTGCCATAGCGACCAGCTTGCCTGGAAGCGATGTCCTACTGACCTTTTTGAATCCTGACAGGCCACAAGGGCTCAACGCTTTGCGGCAGGCATTCGCATACAATTAAACGATTTCAGACATTCTTCTCGTGTATCTCGACTGGGAGAGAATTGCCAGCTTCAATGCGTAGAATTCCATGGGCGCAAGTACGTTGTGCTGCACATTTATGTGTCACCGGAGGCAATGGGCTCCTTCTCGCACTAGCAAGTTTGAGCATCAGCTCTGTGTAAGCCACCTTACGCCTGACAAAGGCAAGACACCGTCGCTGAAGGGCATGCGCAGTCCATAGGGAGGCTGTACTGTTGCCTTCCTCCGACCGTCGCACGTTGCGGGACGCTCCGACACCCTTGCCGAGAGGTCCCGCTCGCACCGGGCCCATGTCGTTGGTGATGCTCCCGTGATAGGGTACGTTGATTAATCATCATAATTTAATGGACTAGTATAGCTAGCTACGCTGATTTGGTTTCCATGGGATATTTGCGTTGAAAGTGCGGACGCTTTCCGAATGTCGTAATGGAACTCTGGTTATGCAGTGAAAGTTGTGATAGATGAGGCTTGAAGGAGTGGACGGCTCTGTGAACTCGCTAGCAGTGCCTATGCCTGGCTGTTTTTCAGCGGTCACCGATAGTGTGCGCACAATAAACAGCACGTAAACCAAGCTGGTTATATGAGCTCGTGGCAAATGCCCGAACCCGGACCAGTCGCCACGCTGCGCCAGCGGCCTATCGGTGGTGCGTGTGACTCAGCGTCCAGGCACCCGGACAGTCTGAAGGCCGTGCCATCCAGAGCGCCACTTAAGCGACAAATTTCCGGGCACGCATTGCCTTATGATGACTCAGTTGACACTTGGAATGGCCTCTTTCCATAATACGTGGAAGGCATGGCAGCCTAGGTCGTGACGTGCCGCGTCCCGGGAATCCGTCGGCTTTTATTGCGCTGTTTTCATTTTTGCGTGGCAAGCGATCTGGTAGCCGTTGATGTTCTCCGTTGCCTGTTCAGCGGGTTGCGGAATGTGACTGGCGTGAGCAGCGCCACCTGTACACCATTTACGACTTAGCTCTGTGGTCACACCAGACCTTGATCCATGTGGTACGTGAACGATGTTCCTGTACGATACGAGAAATGGACTGATCCGGCGACCGGCACCGCATGCGGTGGAAAACCGTGATTTGTGTCGCGCACAGCATGGTGCCAAGCCAGCATTATACCAAGCATTATGCCAAGCATTACGCCAAGCACTATGCCAAGCGTTGTTCAATTCGTTCGTAATCACGATCTATGTTTCTATTGTTTTGCGTGGTCTTCTCTGTCGGCTCCGGCAGCGTGCCCTCACACGCTGCCTCGTCGCTATCGCCTTCAGCTCCAGTCCCGTCGCTCCGTGTGTCCTCGCTGCGAGCTTCTTAGGACGGCTGTGTGGCTTGGGCATGTGGTTGCGTGTGACGGATGTGTGGCTGTGTGTGACTGGAGTGTGGCTATGTGTAACGGCCGTGTGGCTGTGCGTGTGTGTGACGGCTGTGTGGCTGTGTGTGTGTGACGGCTGTGTGGCTGCGTGACGGCTGTGTGACTGTGTGGCTGTGCGTGGCAGCCTTGTGACTCGAGCGAGCGCCACGCGGCCGTCCGGCTGTCGTGCTGTGATGAGCTTTGCGTGTGCAGCTCTCGGCCGGGCTGGGCGCGGCCGAGGAGGCGTGGCACCGACCGCCGCCGCTGCGGCCGGTCACCGTGCCGGTCGGTCCGGCGCGGCTCGGCTGTACGCCACTGACACAGACGCCACGGTGTGCGCGTCGCTAGCCCGGCCTTGCAGCCCGCTGTTGCCTGACGTTCCGCTTCATTTCTGTCAGACTGAAACGCTAAGGAGACATGTACGACTGACGTGTGGGAGTGCTCGACATGTAAAGACGGACTGAGCCGCATGTTAGAAGACACGATGTGACTATTTTGTGCATAAATTCTGGCTTTCGTGACGACTTTGTACTTGGCGGGGAACCATTTGAGGTGACACTGGTGCTTTAACTGATCCAGACAATACTGGAATGTGCTTATTTTGTGTGACACTGTAAGAGTTACTTGTACCCACATCACAGTTAAACGCTGCATGGATAGGTAAGGGTCCGTCTTCTATGTCCTGTTCTGTGGCCTACGTGTGATCATCTGCTCCCTGCCTTGTGGCATGCGTACGGCTGTTGTGCCCGTACCCACTCACGTGCGCGGCGGGCCGACTCGGTGCCAGCTGTGTGTGACGGTCCGCACAGTGACCCCACAGCGCTGGATCGGCCACTGCCCGAGTCACCTGTGACAGGTGTGACAGACGGTGCGCAGCGTGAGTCGATGTGTCGCGTGTGCCCTGCGTGTCGGAGGGTGTTCCGGTGTGTGACGGACGGTGCGCCGTGTGAGTCGACGTGTCGCGTGTGCCCTGCGTGTCGGAGGGTGTACCGGTGTGTGACGGACGGTGCGCCGTGTGTATCTGACGGTGTGCAGTGTGTGCCGGTGTGTAACGGATGGTGCGCCGGTCGCCTCAGTGCCCGGCCAGACGCTGCCCGAGTCTGTGTCGGTGACGTACCGGGCAGCGGGCTCGGTGGAGCAGCGAATGGTCCGACTCACCGCCGGACCGCACGTCAACGACTGGCGCCAGTCGGCCAACTGGATTGTCGCCCTGCAGAGGGTGAGAGAGAGGGAGAGAGAGAAAGAGGAGAGAGGGAGGGAAAGGGAGAGAGCACGGAGCTGGCCGCCCAGCTCAACGGTAGTGCCCACCAGACCCGGGCAGAGACGGGAGTCTGTGCAGCCCGTCGAGCAGCGTCGCCCCGGGCTGTGCAGGCCGTGTACGCCACCCGCTTAGGACCCGGCCGAGCCGTGCAAATTCCCGGGCTGCGCAGCCGTTGTACGCCTTAAGCTGCCTGTTATCTGAGTCGTGCGGCTGTAGTGGGTCTCGCGGCCGGTGAACAGCTCCGGTTGTGTCGTCTGACCGAGGTGTGCGGCTCCCGCAGGCGCTGCGGCTGGTGTGCGGCTCCGGTTGTGTCGTTTGACCGAGGTGTGCGGCTCCCGCAGGCGCTGCGGCTGGTGTGCGGCGCCGGTTGTGTCGTATGCCCGAGGTGTGCGGCTCCCGCAGGCGCTACGGCTGGTGTGCGGCTCCGGTTGTGTCGTCTGAGCGAGATGTGCGGCTCCCGCAGGCGCTGCGGCTGGTGTACGGCTCCAGTTGTGTCGTTTGACCGAGGTGTGCGGCTCCCGCAGGCGCTGCGGCTGGTGTACGGCTCCGGTTGTGTCGTCTGACCGAGGTGTGCGCCTCCCGCAGGCGCTGCGGTTGGTGTACAGCTCCGGTTGTGCCGTCTGAGCGAGGTGTGCGCCTCCCGCAGGCGCTGCGGCTGGTAAACAGCTCCGGTTGTGTCGTGTGACCGAGGTGTGCGGCTCCCGCAGGCGCTGCGGCTAGTGAACAGCTCCGGTTGTGTCGTTTGACCGAGGTGTGCGCCTCCCGCACGCGCTGCGGCTGGTGAACAGCTCCGGTTGTGTCGTTTGACCGAGGTGTGCGCCTCCCGCAGGCGCTGCGGCTGGTGAACAGCTCCGGTTGTGTCGTTTGACCGAGGTGTGCGCCTCCCGCAGGCGCTGCGGCTGGTGTACGAGGGCCGCGAGCCGAGTCAGCACTAGCCGGCGGGCGGCGGGACCAGCTGCGGCGGCGACACGGACGCGGGGGCTCCGGGCGGCCGCGTCGGCCCCCGACGGGAACGGCCTGTTGGGTCACCAGCTGGCTCACCTCCCACCGCGCGCGCGCGTGCGGCCGTCGGAGGCGCTGGAAGGCCGGAGTCACAATACTGATACTGGAGTCGCGATTCTTCCCCGCTCTGAGGTGTGATGGGCATCACCAGACCCGTCGTCGGTCTCAGGGTTGGGAGGATCGGCTGCACCGGCATGATATTGGCGTGTGCTGCACCTGCCCGCTAACCGGCTCTGGACACGGATCGAGTCGCCGCTCTTTCCGTCCGGTGTCGGCGCCAGTGTGTAACTCTTCCAGTACAACAGCGGCCGTCGTCGGGGCCGCGGGGCTGCGCCCGCCTGCCGTGCTCGGCAGGCGGGGCGCGAGTGACCCCGTTTGATAAGGTGTGTACGTGCGTCGCTGTAAGCTCTGGAGACGCCTTGTCTCGTCGCCTCTCGCAAGAGGAGTGGCTCATGAAAGCTAGTTGTTTTCCTTTAGAGATGAGCATCCGCGTATGTAGCCGCACGGACTCCTCTGCGTGTTCGCGTGAGCCCGAACGTCTGCACGTGTAGCCGCGCGGACTCTACTGCGTTTGTCCGCGTGTGTGGCCGCATGGACCCTACTGCTTCTGTCCGCGTGGGTCCGAACGCACGGTCCAGTCGGCGTGGCGCCTTTCGCTGATGTCCCGGACTGGAGCTCGCCGTGCCGTGACTCGATTCGCCGTGCCATCCGGGATGGTCTGTCGCTGATCCCTTACAAGTGTGGCGAGCCCGCTGTTACCGAGTGGGCCGTCGGCGCTGTGCCGCCGCCCCGCGCCTGCGGGCAGGGGCGACCTCTGCGACTCTGCGGGCGGGGGGCGACTCTCGGTGGCCTCTGCGTCCGGCCCCGTTCCGGACGCTGCCGGCTGTGCTGTAGGTCGGGTGCCAGTGGCCGGGCGCGGCCGGTTCGCTGGACGGAGCGGGAAACCGTCTGCGGTGAGGTGGCCGCTGGGTCACGGTGCTGAGGTGGTTTGTGCTCGACCGCAGACCAAGGCGAAGGCCGCGAGGTGAGGCTGTGTGTGAACGTTGACGTTTTATCCGGGGGACTCGGCGAGAGTCCACACGCGCGGAGCCGCACTTTGATAACTTTGCTCTCGAGTTGAGCTGGACGAGAGTGATGCCCTGTGCTTTGAACGGAGCGACGGGCTGCTATGCATTTAGATATTGTCGAAGCGATGGATGCGTAATCTTATTTTTACTCAGACTGGTGGTAACAAGGCCATATACGTGTTTCCACGCATGTCGTTTAAACTGCAAAGAAGAACCGAAAACGTGAATAATACATTTTCCAATAAAGTGTTGGTGAGAGCTTGAGTGGAAGAGGCGGTACGGAGGACGGCTTGCGTGCACCGAGTTCTAGGACCGAGCTAGTGGATAAACCGTCGACGTTTTGAGTCAGGCTCTTGAAATCGCGAGTGACGGGGCTCTTAGGGTGTCGACATATAGCGTCATCCGAAATGGAATGACATCGCAGTGTTTGGGCGGATACATTCATGACACCTCAGCGAAAACTGGCCACTCGGATTCTCCCCGACATGGTCTCGTGAAACGCACATCGGGCCCTGTTAAGAACATCGCGTTTGATGCCTTAAATTTGTTTACGACGGGTGGCTGGCTGTTGAGCACTGTCTTAACTGGTAAAGGTCCATTGACCGTTTCGAAACGGTGACACAACCAGCGGGATGTGCAACGGGGCCGAGAGCCCCCCCCCCCCCCCCCCGGCCACCGGGCAGGCACCTGGGGCCGAGGGTCTGTTTTGGATACTGAGAGGCCCTATGTGGCACAAGAGGGCAAGAGGAAAGCGCCAGGCGTTAACGTCACACAAGTAGCGCCAGAGTGCAGGGCGCTAGAATGTAATTAAGGCGCCAGCATAGCGCCAGAGCGTAAGCCGCCAGCAGAGCACCGGTGCAGGATGCCGGCATAGTGCCAGTGTAAAGCGCCGGCGTGACGCCGGGTTGTAAGGCGCCAGCATAGCGCTTTACAATTCAGAAACAATATTCAAAGCAAATAAACGTTTTAGAAAATATTCTAGGCATTGAGCCTCGCCTTGAAGTGCAGGAATCGGTGCGACCCCACCGACGAATCCGCCGATGAGAGGCGGGCATGGCGCCATGCATTTCAGGAACACCTACGGCATGAGGTAAAATATTCCCACAGAACCAGCTACAACGTACTCAAAGTTCGTTAAAAGGGAACACCTGTGTATAACTTTTGTATTGCAGCGCTGCAAGATTTCGCGGATGTCGCCAGTACATCTGGCACAGTCAGCTTTTCAGGAAAAAGTGCCATTTAACCAGGCATCGAAGCGTCCATTCTTGGTGAAGCAACACAACGATGCTAACCAATCGCGAGATCTCCTCGCGGCTAACCGACGATCTCTTTTTCGCCGCCAGGCTCCATTTTTCTTAAATTGAAAAGGAAGGAAAGAAGTCAGTGCCAGTATCAGTCTACATCGATCTCCTGTGTTTACAACGGAACATCCAGCCGAGGGTAAACGAAGGCTACAAACCTATACATGTCCTCCAAATATGCCGGAGGTTTCAATGCGTGCTATGGCGAAAGGGCCGTGCAGTATTTAAAGCTTTTAGGACCCTGCTGGCTTGAAGGGGGCTCATCTCTTGTGTTGCAAAGGTTGCATATAAAGGGGACTTGCTCGCCCTCCGGCTTGTGAGAATGCCCTGTGGGCCAATAGAGGGACTAACCGCCGGCCTGTAAAAGAACCTCGCTGAAATGCTCGTGCCCGAGACACACTGTCAGCACTCCCTCTGACATTTTCATCACGTGACGGCGTTCCCATTGCCCAAGGAAAATGTGACCGGCATCCACGAAAAACGTGACGCGGCAGCGAATGCCAGACACCACATTCCGACCCCATCCCACGCTCCTGTGGACCACCTGCACGGATCAGGCTTGGGGCCCCCTCACCAGCTAATGCGCCAGCTGGACTAGTGCGCCCTGTCCGCAGTCTCCTCTCAGCTGAAGATCGGGGAGGATGGGACAGCAGTTCGCTTCAGCCGATAACCAGGGACGGACCATGCGCTGCCGATCGCCGTGCCGAACCGCCAGTCCATTCGTTAGCCAAATGCGCGGCGCCCACGCCATACAGACGTCTGGCACCGCTGCTCTGGTGTGAATAGCGCTAACCAGTCCCGCCCAGATGCAGGATCAGTCAAGCTCGATTATAACGGGCATTTGTCCCTGCGCAGGCTGGAACCCCACGCATCCTTCACCGAAGTTGTCCTCCCATCCGAACCTGAATGTTACCGTACACTGGGTTTAAGTATCATAGTCTACTTGCTCTCCTGCAGTTCGCAGCGTGTTCCGTCTTTGAGGCGTTGCTGGGTGGCCGTTGACGGCTGGAGCCCTGATCCTCTGACTGGTGACTGGACCGGGCTGATCAACTACGGCCAGAACTAACGGAGCAACGGTGGCCGCAGCTAGCAGCCGAGGGGAGAGTCAGAGGAGCGGGGGCGTTATACCCGCCACTACAGAACGCGCCCCCGGTTTATTCAGCAGCAGTTCACGACGCCCACATACCGCACGACTTCAGAGAGCGCGAGCGCAAGATGGCTGGTCGCGATCCGTGAACAGGCACAGGGGCACACGTGAGCGGCCCACGGCTCACCCACGTGGCTGGCTATAAATAACACTTGTGGCCAATTAAAATAAACACAAAGGATTTATTCTACTCGCGTCAGCCCTCCCCTCTCAACACACCACACAACGAACCTAACACTGCATACAGTGTTGGGCGCAGGAGCCGGCTTTTCCGGCGTCGACGGGCGGTGGGAGTCACGCGATCGGCGCTCGCGAGTGCAGGTTGGGAGCGGTGGAAAGCTCGTTACATGTGACGCTGCGCCGCTCAGCGGCAAGGACGCCATGCCCGGTCACGACTCGGGTCGCGTCACATGAGTTGGCACATCGGCAAGTCACATACGGCGGCACATTCTGTACGCAGCCGGGGAACGATGTGTCAGAATCGGTGTGTTTCCAGACATGTTCTTTACAGACAGGCATTTACCGACCCAGCACATGCGCCCAGTGTGAGCGAGCCCCAGCCCTCCGGCGGGACTGGGTCGGCACCGCTGGGCCGGGGCACCGGCGCCGGGACAGGCAGGCGGCCACGGACAGGCGGCCAGCTGGACAGGCCTCTAGCGTCGCGTCAGCTGACTCAAACCGGTCAGGGTGCGCCGCGAGTCCAACGTCCTGGAGGCGCCCGTTAATATGCAGATCTGGAAACCCTGCAACCGGTTGGGCGCCGGGCCAGCAGGGAGTTGGAGATCCCCTGACCTCGACGACTTAACCCCGCGGGTGCAGCTGACCCTGGGTACCAACTGAACGCGATGTCAACTAGCTACAGCTGTTTCAGCAGCCAACCGGCTCGCACGATGTCCAACGCGCACAATCTTCCGAACTCTGCACCAGACGTTTCGTGCAAGACCGCAAAAATAGTCGCCGCCATACCCTATGCAAAATATCACGAGATAGTACCGAAAACTGTGAAGTTATCTCCGCGCTAAAAACAATCTACAATCTACATAACAAGGTCAC